CCCAATTATATTATGAAATAGGGTTTGTTGAAAAAGCATCAAGAAAGTTTGTTGGGAATGAAGTGAAGATTTGTGTGCATATTTAATTACGTAACTTTTGTTTTAAAATCTAATTGTGTTACTTAAGAGATGTAGCTAATAGTGAAGTTTAGAGAAGTTTAACACTTATTGGTTTGTGTGGATGGAATTGGACATAGTAGATGAATGTATAATAGAAATTATTCGAATTGTACGGGAGTGCGGGATGAATTTATAGAAGGGGTTGCTGGCTTTATTTCTAAAGCAAAGACACTTATGATTTCCTTATTGAAGGGACGATTATGTGCCCTTGTGTGAAATGCAAGTGTGTTAAGTTATTGGGTCCCGATATTTTTACTGTTCATTTGTATAAGAAGGGTTTATGGAAACTTATTATGTATGGACTGTTCATGGGGAGAGTCATGCTAGTGTAGATGATGTTGATTTTCAGAACTCTTTTGGTGGTGAAGAAGATAGTCGTATAGCGGAGAATATTAATATTGAAAATTCTCGATTTAATGAAATGATGAGGGATGCTTTTGAGATGTTCCCAGGGGCTCAATCTGAACCCAATGATGAGGCTAAGTGTTTCTTCAAGCAGTTAGAGGAAGCTAGTTGTCTGCTTTATGAAGGCGCATCGCATTCCAAGTTGTCTATTCCAATTAGATTACTAAGTATTAAATCGGATAATTCTATTTCTCAAGCGGTCATGGATTCTATTATTGACCTTATGAATGAACTTATTCGACAAAGATTGACCTACCCAAAGTTTTTTATATGGCAAAGAACTTAATCATTTGCATCGGTTGATTATCGTATCCCCTGGGGACGAGTAAGTAATTCTTTATTTTTAATTGTTAGAATAAAGTTTCACATATATTTGACGAATGCTTATTTTACATATTAAATATAATGTAGGTTTTTGCCATCCTATCAGGCCACACATATGGTTGTGAAATCTATTGAGCGATTTTTTTATGAGCCGTGGAATTCCTGGAGAGAGATATCATACCATATCAGAGTGAATATGTGGCTTCAATTTAAGGTACGAATAAATATAATTTATATAATATTTATTGTGTTCGTCTAAATTTTTTTTAATTGCAGACTAAGTGTGTATGATATCCTCAGCATGAAATTCGGGTGAATGCTATTTTCGAGAAGGGAGCTCAGAAAAGGATTAAAGATACTCATTTTGTTGCTCGGAAAGGTGGCAACATGCCCGATTGGTTACGTCAAGATATCTCGCTTTAACTATTGGAGAAGTGAAACACCAATGAATAGAAGCAAAAGAGTGAAAAAGAGAAGGCAAACAGAGCCTCCAGTAAGGGTGGCTCGTTCGTTGCGCAGCCCATCGATTGAGATTGATAATTTATTTATAAAATTTTATTTAGTTTTACTTATATGTGATCGAACATAATAAACTCATATTCTTAATTTTGACAGAAAAGGCACATGGGGAAATGTGTCATGCTCATGTCTTTGAGGATACACATAAGAAGAAGAAGAAGAAGAAGAAGAAGAAGAAGAATGGGTCGAACCGCGTGCATCAGAGACATGTAAGATTCTAAAATCAATACTACATTTATTTTGGTTAAGATTAGTTCGTTTATATGATGCTTATCATCTATATTTTAGGACGAGTATCAACGATTTATGAAGGAATGGCAACAAACTCAACCTGATTCCCAACCGACGCCCGAAGATATGACTTCGATATGGACACAAGCAGCCGGTGGAGTAGATAAAGATATAGAATTTTTTAGTAATATTTATTTTAATATTATTTTGCACAAATTGTATGTTTCTTCTCTTGCTCATTTAATTTTAATTTTTTTATTTCTCATGAAAATAAATAAAGGTAGAGTCTACGGACTTGGAGTTAAACCGTCGTTCGGCCGCATTATTCAGTGGTGCTTCTGCTTCACCGGAAGAAATTGAGACTATACAGAGCTAAATCAATGAATTATCGCAACAATTAAATAATACTCAAGAAACAATAAGTATGATGTGGACATTCATGGAAACCAACGTGCAATGGAAGAATCTAACAATGAGGAGACTAAAACCGATGAAGAGTAGTAATTTGGAATGTGTAGTATGATATTTAGACTTGATTGATTTTGACTTGGTTCGTTTTAGACTTGGTTGCATGTCATTTTAGTTGAGATTTTTAGATTTTGATGTGGTTTAATAGAATTTATATGTAACGACCCGGCCGGTCGTTTTGAGTATTTTAGCCTCGATCCCCTAATTTATGTTTTCTTTATGTTATATTGTAGTTACGTGACTCGTCGGGGTATTTAGTTTTCGTTTTGGTTTTGGTTTCGGGTGAGTTTCGGAGTGAAATGGGACACATAGTCCCTAAGTTGGAGGTTTAAGTTGTTAGAGTTGACCACAATTTGACTTGTGTGAAGACGACTCCGGAATGGAGTATTGGTGATTCCAATAGCCCCGTATAGTGATTTTGATCTTAGGAGCGTGTCCAAATGTTAATTTGGAGGTCCGTAGGTCGTTCGGCGTTAATTGGCGAAAGTTAAAAATTTGAGTAATTTGAAAAGTTTGACCGGGAGTTGACTTTATTGATATCGAGGTCGGATCCCGATTTTGAAAGTTTTAATAGGTCTGTAATATCGATTATGATTGGTGTGCAAAATTTGGTGTCAATCAGAGTTGTTTTGGTATGAATCGGCGTTGGGTTTGGAATTTGGATGTTCATAGGCTTGAATTTGGGTTGCGATTCATAAAATTTATGTTGTTTGATGTGATTTTTGGCCTCGAGTAAGTCCGTTATGTGTTTTTGAAACTAATTGGTATATTCGGAAGGAGTCCCGGGGAGCCCGGGGGTGATTCGGGTTGAATTCAGATCGAAATTTGGACTTGTTGAGCTGCTGGACTTTTCCAGCTTCTAGTGTCATCGCACTTGCGGAGGGACTGGCCGTAGGTGCGGACTAGAAAAAGCGAGCTTGTAATCACAGGTGCGATTTTGGCTAAGCCCAACTGGGAGCACAGGTGCGAGGAGTTATCCGCATCTGCGAGAATGCAAGTGCGAAAAGGAGATCGCAATTGCGGACAAGGGTTGTCGTGTCTTTGGTCGCAGAAGCGGAGGGGTTCTCCGCATAAGCAGGCTCGAAGATGCGAGCCAAGGTCCGCATAAGCGGAATTTTGAGACTTGAGTGTTTTCCGCACCTGCGATGGTTTTTCCGCAGGTGCGGCGTCGCAGAAACGAACCAAAGGCCGCAGAAGCGGAAGTCGCTGGGCAGAAAATGGAATTTTCGAGGGTTTGATTTTATAATTCATTTTGGGACTTTGAGAGCTCGGTTTGAGGCGAAATTTCGAATGATTTTCAGAGAAGACTTTGGGATAAGAAATTCTAACTCATTTTTGATTAATTCCCACGAATCTATTGATAATTTCTTCATTTAATTAGTGTTTGGAGTTTAAAATTTGGGGGAAATGGTAAAAACTTCTTAGGCTAAGTTTTTGGGTTTTGAAAGGCAAAATAATGTCGGATTTGGATAATTCTTGTATGGTTGGACTCGATATCGAATGGGTGTTCGGAATTTATAATTTTGGTGGGGATCCGAGACGCGAGCCTGGGTCGACTTTTGGGGCGATTTTTCAATTCTTTGCTAAGATCATAATTTCATTATTTAAATTAGTTTCCTATAGTTATATTTATAGTATGAAATTGTTTTGGATAAATTCGAGCCGTTCAGAGTTAAAAATTGAGGGGAAGGACTTCTAGTTGATTGATTTAGCGTGGTTTGAGGTAAGTGAATTATCTAACCTTGTGTGGGAAAAATTTCTCTTAGGATTTCGTATTGTTGTGATGATTGTGAAATGTAAAAGCCGTGTGCGCGAGATGAAGAGTGCGTACACGGGCTAAATGTGAAATTTCTAAATTTTTGCTTTGTAGTTTCCTTTCATTCTTTAATTGAGTTACTTTAATATATTATAAACATCATGTTTGTCTAATTTCACATGTCACTTGTTGTATATCTTATTTGCAAATTGCCTTACATGTTTAGTTGAATTACTTATTATCTTTTATTCTGTATTCATTATTTAACTGTTGAACCCTTACTTGAAATTGCTATTCTTGAGTATTTTGCTGTGAGTTTGGTATTGAGTTGCAAAGGCCGTGGTGTCTATTGAGGCAAAGTGTAAGTTGTAAAATATCATTTTTATTGAGCTGTTATGTATTGGCATTCGTGTTATTGTTGAGAGGATTGTTTGGTTGTTTGCACGAGGTTTCAGTCGTGATGTTGTTACTATTTGCACGAGGTTTCTGTCGTGCTGTTATTACTATTGATACGCATGCGGTGGTATAAGGTTTGAGTGCTGAAATGCATGTGGTGAGATAAGATAGGCTTGATCCGCGTGGCTAGTAGGAGAACTACTAGCAGTCATGCAGTGTGATAAGATGAGCTAAAATGCGAGGTGCTAATTCGGAAAAATAATTTTCAAAACTAAATGTCAAGGCTCCCACTTTGATATAAGGAAAGACTGTGAGTTACCTTTATAATTTGGGACTACGAGGCGGTACCTCAGTAGGGCCCCTTTTTGATCTTCTCTATTTGTTGTGTTTGTTTGGTTGTTGTTTCCTTAGCATGTAAAATTCCTATTTTCCTTTCGTGTTGTATTAACTGCCTTGATTCCGTGTTGTTAACTTTTCGTAAATTCTTTATTGTTTCACTTCCTTGTCATTATCATTATATCATTATATCTTCTGTTTCGTTTCTTATTATCTCAAGTAGGGCCTTGACCTGATCTCATCACTACTCTACCGAGGTTAGGCTTAACACTTACTCGGTACCGTTGTGGTGTACTCATACTACGCTTATGCACATGTTTTGTGCAGATCCAGGTACATCTTATCAATCCCAGTACTAGCGTATTGAGCCTGCATTTGGAGACTTCAAGGTACACCTGCCCGCGTCCGCATGTCTCGTAGTCCCCTTCTATCCTGTTCTTCCTTATTTCTTTACACTTTTATAGACAGTGATGTATAGAATTGTTCAGCACTGTATCTAGAGTTTGTGATTTATATCTCACTAAGTTTTGGGGAGTTGTACACATTGAGTTTATAGTTTCTTTTTATGAAGTTTTGAAATTTTAAGTTTTATTTAATGTTTTCGCATGTTGTTAGTCTTACCTAGTCTTAGAGATTAGGTGCCGTCACGACATTCTACAGAGAAAATTTGGGGTCGTGACATTACACTTGTTAAATGATTTTGTTATGTTTAACCTAGTTTGATACTTGATGTTTTTGGCTCAATTGATTGAGCATTTGTGATATTGGTTGTGTTGTATATTGGTTGTTTGATTTGGCAGGGGGTGTAGCTTAAAATACAGTAGAAGCAGAATTCTGCTATATTTTATCAAAGTTTGCGGCTGATTTTCGACCACTTTGGTCGAAAACGGGACTTGGAAAATTCCTAGGTCGAAATATTTAATTAATTAATTTGTAATTTTCGACCGATTCAGTCGGAACATTTGAATAAAATAATAATTAATTATTTAAATTACCGACCAAATCGATCGAAACATTAATTATTTAATTAACATTTATTATTAATTGTGCGGCAGAATCGGTTGCAAACTTTAATTTTATTCGATCAACTTGACTTTTTCTTGTTGCGGACAAAATGGTCGGGAGTTTCTGAATGATTCGGTCGAAAATATTTTACGACCATCATTTTTCCGACCACTTGAAATCCGTCGGAAACAATAGATTTCCGATGGATTTCGTGGTCGAAAATATGACATTTTGTGGTAGTGAGTGTAAAACTTAAAATATGCCCTTTATTTTTAAACAAAATAAAAATTTGTTTACTTATGGAGGTTGGTTTATTCGTTTTACTTGTTTAATACATGTATGACTAATATCTAAGTTCTTATTCTATATTCGATCCTACATAAAATAATATATACATGTCTAATAACTTATGCATGTATTGTTTATGAGGAAAAGAATAATAAAAGTAATCAAACATTGTTTAATAAAATGTTAGATTTTATTTGGAGAGAACTCCTAACCATACCAACCAAACGGCCCTTGATGTATGACACTCTTTGTTTATTGTGGTTTTTATCGTGTGTGTTTTCATGAAAAGGTAAAAATTAAAAAAAAATAAAATTAAGATCTTAAATATAGAAATATACCAATTTCGGTAAGCAAATCGAAAAAGAAAGACTGTCATAGTAGTTGGAAGAGGAGTAGAAAAAAGATTATGCTTTGGAAATGCTAGCTATACTTAAAACGCATAATAGTGTGAGAAAAAACATTACTATCGTAGATATGATTACTAAGGCTATTGTAAACCAAGATTTTGGTTGCTCGATCATACATCTATATTCAGGCCAGATTAATTAATTAGCAATATTTAACATGTCTATATCTTAAGTTCTTAACTAATCTATCTTGATTGTTTCCCTAAGAAACAGGAAGAGAAAACTCATTCTTTTTTCTTTTCTCAGTGTTTTCGCAATTGAATAAAAGGTGAAGAGTGTGCTTAAATGCTTATAGTTGATCTGTATACAACCAGGCGTTATGTGCAGTACTTCGGAGTAATTTATAAACTCTTGATTCTAGTAGTCACAATCCGAGTTTCAGTCATGATAAATATTGAAGATAAAGATTAAAAATAAATTAAAAAAGAAAAGAAATCAAGACCGTTTTTTCCTTTTTGACATTTACGAAAGAGTTGAAGGGGAAAATTGTCTACTTCTACATGACGCCAAGAAATTGTCGATTATGTGATGCAATCAACTGCAAATTGAAAGAAGAAGGAAGCAATTTGATAATTTAAAATCATTCAATGGCTGATGTAGGATACAGCCTCTACTAGGATAATTGATGACTCATTTTCCAGAACCACTGCCTTATCTAGATTTGGATTAGTTTTAAGTGGATAGAACCTTTCGTTCCTAGCATGCGAAGTGATAATATATTGAATTGCCCAAAAATGTCCTAAGGTCTAAACCACCATTCGAAATATTTATAAGGGAATAAAAGGGGCAATGACATCAAGATTGGTCCCCGGAATACATATGACTGTATTCTGTACTACGAATTAAGATAGAGCAACTTAATTGCTCTCGTTTGAATAACTTTGGTGATTATTTTGCTTTAGTTGCACTCGCCTACCTTATCGCATCATTACATTTTCTTATTATTACATTTATTACGTACATTAATGATTATTTTTTCTTTTTTATAAACATTGATGCAAATTATGTACCATCGGTAGAGAGATGATGTAAATCCTTTACACTTGATATTAATCTTTAAGGTTTCGAATAAACCAATCTTAACTATTGCGTATATCGTTTTTCAAAGTTACAGCATAATGTATAATGGCAGTAAATTATTGTACAATCGAAGTTAGAGAAGAACACACTGTATCTTCTGTTGTATACTTAATGGATAGAACAAGAAACTAACTGCATATAAAACAGATCTCCTCTTTCAAAGTAATGTAGAAATTAAAATCTTGAGTAGAAATACATAAACGAAGATCAAGTTCTTCATATATGATTCTTCTGCCAGAAAGACTGATGGCTCTTGTTGGGTTTAAGGTGAATGGAAAATGGGGAAAAATAAAATTTTGATTTTTCCTCCTTGACAAAGGAACATTGTCCCATATTGGAGGAGGAAAAGACTTTTGATGGGTATATATACAATTGCTCTTCTTCTAACTCTTAAAGAGTTAAGAAGAAGGCAAGCCCCGCGCCGTCGTCGTCGCCGGCTTCGGTCAAATGATTGATTGATTAAATTTTTTGGACCAAATTTATTTGTTAATATTAACGCAATAGATGCATTCAAACAATACAAAAATGAAGTTGAAACGCAACTTGACAAGAGAATGGGTGGTGAATACGAATCTCCTTTTGAAAAAATATGTTTAGAATATGAAATTATTCATCAAACAACGGTCCCTTACACGCCCCAATTCAATGGGATTGCGGAAAGAAAGAATCGATCATTAAAGGAAATGATGAACGCTTTGTTGATAAGTTCTGGTTTGCCACAGAACTTGTGGGGGAAGCCATTTTTACAGCTAATCGGATATTAAACCGAGTACCCCATAGCAAAACGCAATCCATTCCACATGAAAAATGGAAAGGAAGGAAGCCCAACTTGAATTATTTTAAAGTGTGAGGTGTTTGGCAAAAGTGCAAGTTCCTAAACCCAAAAGGGTAAAGATAGGACCAAAAACTGTTAATTGTGTTTTCATACGATATGCAACAAATAGTAAAGCATATCGATTTCTGGTTCATAAATCAGAAAATCCCGACATTCATAATAAAACGGTTATAGAATCAGATAATACTGAATTTTTCGAAAGTATATATCCGTATAAAAAGTCAATTGGTGAAGCATCTAAACGACTTCGGGAGGAAACAAAAGAAAGTACGTATAATCAGGAGGATCCAAGACGGAGTAAACGTCAAAAAACGTCTACTTCATTTGGACCAGATTTTGTGACTTTCTTATTGGAAAATGAGCCTCGAACATTGAAAGAAGCCATGACTACTTCCGAATCATTATTTTGGAAAGAGACAGTCAATAGTGAAATATAATTCATACTGAACAACCATACATGGGAATTGGTTAATCTTACTCCAGGCAATAAACCATTGGGTTCTAAATGGATTTTTAAGAGGAAAATGAAAGATGATGGTACTATTGATAAATATAAGGCAAGACTTGTGGTCAAAGGGTATAGATAACGAGAAGGTCTTTGACTATTTTGATACATACTCTCCAGTTACGAGAATTACGTCCATACGAACGTTCGTAGCATTAGCTGCAGTATATGGTCTTGAAATTCATCAAATGGCCGTTGAAATGACTTCTTAAATGGAGATTTGGAGGAAGAAATTTACATGGAACAACCTGAAGGGTTTGTGGTTCCAGGTAAAGAAAAGAAGGTATGTAGACTTGTTAAGTCGCTTTACGAACTAAAACAAGCATCCAAACAATGGCATGTAAAATTTGACCAAACAATGCTGTCAAATAGTTTTAAGATAAATGAATGTGATAAATGTGTGTACATTAAAAATGTTACAAATCACAGTCATTGTTTGCTTATATGTGGATGATATGCTGATAATGAGTAATGACATTGCCAACATAAATGCGACTAAGCGTATACTAACTAGCAAGTTTGATATGAAAGACTTGGAAGTTGCCGATTTAATTTTGGGTATTAAGATCCATAAGACTCCTCAAGGTCTGGCATTGTCGCAATCTCATTACATTAAAACAGTACTTGAAAAATTCAAGCACTTAGATTTTAAAGTTGCAAAGACTCCAATTGACGTGAATCTTGCACTTGCAAAGAACAAAGGCCAAAGCATATCACAATTGGATTATGCTCGTGTGCTGGGATGTTTAATGTATATCATGAATTGTACTCGACTAGATATAGCTTGTGCTATAAGTAAATTGAGTTGATACACGAGTAATCCAGGTCAATCTCATTGGATGGGGATGAAACGAGTTTTGGGATATTTAAAACATACCCAAGACTTTGCTTTGCACTACAGTAATTATCCTGCGGTGATTGAGGGATACTGTGATGCAAATTGCATCACCGGTTCAACTGATTCTAAGTCCAAAAGTGGATATGTATTCACTATTGGTGGAGGAGCGGTATCTTGGAAGTCATCCAAACAAACGTGTATTGCCCGCTCTACAATGGAGGCTGAATTTATTGCCTTAGATAAAGTCAATGAAGAAGCTGAATGGCTCCGGAATTTCTTGGAAGATATTCCATTTTGGCCCAAACCGTTAGCACCAATATGCATACATTGCGATAGTCAAGCAGCGATTAGAAGGGCTGGGAGCGTTATGTATAACGGTAAATCTCGTCATATACGACGAAGACATAAAATTGTTAGGCAGCAACTCTCTAGGGGGATCATCACAATTGACTACGTAAAGTCAAGCGACAATGTGTCGGATCCACTTACGAAAGGCCTAACTAGAGAGGTAGTTGAAAGATCATCGAGGGGAATGGAACTATGGCCGAGGACAAGTCATTGTGGCGGTAACTCTACCTAGAAGACTGGAGATCCCAATATCTAGGTTCAAGGAGATCAAACAAAGTCATTAATGACGATTCAACATTGTCAACTAAAGTTTTTGGTCCATTTTCGTGATGAGACAATGTTCAGTACCAAGGATAAAGCAGTAAGGCTTTTTAATGGTTTCTAAATTTGATACGGGGCATATCAAAAAGTGTATCTACGGGATGACACGTTTAGGAACCACCTATGTAAGTGAGAAGTGTTAGTCGCTTCAAGGAGAATTTTGCAAGGCCAGTTCTCTACGCACTTATGAAACCAGGCGGAGTTTATGGCTGAAACGAACACAACAATGAGAACCAAAGACGATTAAGGGTTGGTTGTGTGACTGATGGTTGTCTAGGTATATACCAAAGTTCGACGGTTCAAAGATATCAAATCTACCGATTGATCGAGTATATCCGACATAAGTTCACTACGGAAAGTTCAAAGGGAAACCTACTTATCCAGATGTGATTAATCCTTGCGTGTAAATCACACAGTTTTTCATGCATATTTTAGTGATATAGCCATTCCCCATTCATGTGGGGGATTGTTGGGTTTAAGCTTCTTAGAACTTAAATGAGGGTGAATGGGAAATGGAGGGGAAAATAAAATTTTGATTTTCCCTCCTTGACAAAGGGACATTGTCTCATATTGGAGGAGGAAAAGACTTTTGATGGGTATATATACAATTGCTCTTCTTCTAGCTCTTAAAGAGTTAAGAAGAAGGCAAGCCCCGCGCCGTCGTCGTCGCTCGGCTTCAGTCAAATGATTGATTGATTAAATTTTTTGGACCAAATTTATTTGTTAGTATTAACGCAATAGTTGCAACCTTGCATGAAGAGTTGTAACTCTTCAAGTATAACCCAACGTTTTTTGGCTATAAATACATGAACTCTCCCTCAGATTTTCCTTACGAAAATTCCGATTAATCCTTCTTCTTTCTGCATTGTTTTAACAGAAAAGAAAGTAGTAAGTGTGATTTACTACCGCTATTTGCATTCGTTGTCACTGGGATTTGAAGTATCGCTACACCAGTGAGGGTAATCCGTTCTATCATGGGAGGAAATAATCCTAAACCTCGGGTACTAGGAGGGGATTAAGTTCCTTAAGGAAACACTGTGAATTCAGTGGGCTCGGAATAATTTTGTTCTTCTACATTTCTGGTTTTATATCGTTTTATTTTTTAATATATTTTCGAATACAGAATATTAACAGGCTCTTTCCGTTCCTACCGGAACCATCTCTCCTTGGCTACAAAACACTTGAGCAAATAATATCCAGATACTGTTCAGAAAATTTTAAAACTCAAGTCCAAACCATGAACTACGAAGCATTACCGTAGATAGACCGCACATACAGATACAGGAAACTAATCACGATATGTCAACCAGTTTCCTGCTCAAAGTCATCACCTTCTGACTCCTCACCATTGTCCGCATCATCATCGTCTGCTTCATTGTCAAAGTCTTCTTTATCATTATCTATGTTAGTCTTCCCAATTACGACTAAGTTGCTGTTCATCTTTCTGATTTCATTACACTACAAATTTTGCAAACATCAAGAAGGAAAAGTTAGGAACTTGGTAGTATTTGTCAGTTGATATGAGGCCAGACAACTTCTTATGAAAAAAGAAAAGAAAAGAAAGAAAGAATGCAGTTTTGCAAATGAAAGCGAGACAGAAAGTTACAGAAAAAGGAAAGAAAACAAACATAACGGACTTAAGAGTTGCAGCAAAGCAAGTAAGAGGAAAAGCTGGATCCAACCAGCCAACTGTTTGATACATGCCCACTTTATCCCACTTTTTTTTTGATGAAATAAGATACATGCCCACTTTATCCCACTTTGGTTTATCATGGGCTACACAAAGAACATATTTTCCTATTTTCTCCAATATGGCACCTTTTTAAGTCTTAAACCTTAGTAGTTAGTAGTATTCCAGTAAGGGAGAATGTAGACACCAGCCAGGGAAAAGTTCATGATTCAATCTCTTCCAAAAAACTTTTCTGTTCTTATAAATAAGTCTTATTGATGTTTACATGGAAAAATTGAGACATGGTTCAGAGAAAAAGGTCAAAATTCAACCTCTTCCAGAAAAACAATACAAACTAATTTTATAATCATTATATTGTTTGTTCAAAAAATTAACCAACTTAACCTACATAAGAATCTTTTTCAATAGAAGATTTCTTGAGAAACTGTGAAATTATAGCATGCTTTTGTCTCCCTCCACTTCACCATAATTCTTTCTTTTTTGTTTCTAACCCCTCCTTTCCTTCAGCATTAATCCCTCAATGGTCTTAAATAGCTAGAAGTAAGAGTTAGTAGCATCAACAATCCTCAAATCGTAGGACAGGCAGTGTTCTGCTATACTGCCAACTAAACACTTAGCTGTTGGCTTCCAACACCCGACTTGGCAATTATAATTAAGGTACATGGCACTAGGAGAAGTTTGCAGTCCTAATTTTCGAACCTAATCAACTAATAATTTAACAGTTGTCGCAGCAATTATAATGTACAAACCTTTAATTAAGGTAATTGTCACTGGAATAACTCCAGAAATAACAACTTACATAAACTTAAGTAAGCAAGCAGCAAATAAGTACCTTAATACAGGGATGGTTGAGGCCTGAAAGAACATATGTTGGGGAGAATATATAAAAAGCTAAAAGAAGATCATAACTCATAAACACACAAAAAAAAAATATAGAATGAAAAAATACATTTGTAAAAACATAAAGGCAAGTGAAGAGACATGTCTGACGAATTATGTATATATCATGGAAGCATCACTACATCTTTTTCATTTTTTGTACAATGCATAAAAGAACACTCTCTGCAAAGACAAATTTTCATTGTTCTTAACCCAGGGAAGAGACTAGTTAGAAGAAAGATCCTATAGGTCAAGAGCCTTGGGCAATAGGCACATCATTAGTCCTTTTCCACCAGCTACCCTAAAGTAGCTCTATCAAGCCTAACTTTCTGTCAATCTTGCTTTTCATTCAAGAATAAGATGCTGGTCCAAAAAATTCCTGTATTTCAGTGGAAGAGTCCAGCTATTCAAGAGTGTTCTATTTGAAATGCAAACTTATTGGGCTCAAGTCTTTCTACTACCAAATAAGATCATTACACTAGTGCCAAATGTTTGCGGGACATTCCTGTGGACTGGCAGCAATGAGGTCTCAAGGAAGGCCTTAGTAGCATGGGACAAACGGTATATGCCAATGTCTGCTGGGGGCCTAAAAATTCTGGATTTCTGTAGATGGAACAAAGCAGCTATTTGCAAGCCTCTTTGGGTTGTGAGTTGTGACTCAGAAAAAAGAAATTTATGGGTGAAATGGATTCATAGATTCTAAAGGGAGAGACTTGCCACACTTTCCTACTCCAAAACAAGCTGGTTGGGTAGTAAGGAAGATCTTTGATGCAAAAGATTGGTTAGTGAGTAATGGGGATTCTAGTTTAGTGCTTAACAGTTTTACAGAAAAGGAGAAGTTCAGCATCAAGAAAGCTTAAAAATCTTTCACTCCTCAGTTTCGAAAGGTAGCATGGAAGAAGGGAGTCTTGGCGAAAAGCATAATACCTAGGCATCAGTTCATCCTATGGTTGGCAATACAACAAAGACTCGCCGATGTTGATAGACTAGAAAGATGGGGGATTCAGGTTGATAAGGGCTGTGTGCTATATAGTTCAGATATTGAGGAAACAATGTCACATCTCCTGCTTGCCTGTCCTTATTCAAAGCATTTGTGGGGGTTTATACTAGCTTGGCTGGGAAAAAACAGAAGAAGTGGCTTTTGGCAGGATAAAGTGCAGTGGGCATCTAACAGCGTTAATAACAGCAGGCCAAGGGCTAGTATCCTAGGCTTCCAATTTTGTTTACCACATCTGGGCAGAGAGGAATGCAAGAAGATTTCAAAAGCAGAAACAAGAGAGTTGGCAAAGGATCAAGGAAACTGTTATACAACTTCATATCATAGGCCAGAGAAATTGTAAATGGAAGAGTCAATCAGAGAGTTTTAATAGGTACCCAACATAGAGTTGGCTAGATTGCTGCTATATGCTGAGGTTCCAGCTTATACCCTTCCTAGAAGGTGCTGAGCTGAAACTGAATAGCATTGCAATGCCAAAGTTTTGCTTAGTGATGTAGATACAGTTTTGGTCTTACTTTTTTAGAACTAGCTCTTGAGTCCAAAAGAGCTTGTTGTGTGCATTGTTATACTTGGTTGAATATAAAATTTTATTTTGACCAAAAAAAAATAAATAATAGTCTTCCTCTTAAGTTGACATGGTGCTGTTAATACTTAATATCCTCATCATAATTACATAAACATTTCTATTTCTATTTTTTATTTCTTCCAAACACCGTATCACTTAGGACCACACACTTGGTTCGTCACTTTTGTACATTTCGTTTATCGCGTCAGAATAATAGAGAAAGCTAGAAACTATGGTCCAAGTTGGTTAAGGCTTGAAACCTTTCAAGAATATATTAACTTTGAGACAAACATTATTCCTATTTGTGGCTCCCCCTACCCTATCAAGATTAATTTTGTGTTGGATGTAGTATCACAGCCTCCATATAAACTAGTTCACCTCGAACCCTGATACAGATTAACAATTTCTTTCAAGCAAGTATAACCTATATAATAACAGCATATTCACTAGCAGTAATACTGATGGAAAATGTATGTTACTTCCCTGAGTTCCCCAGCAATTCTCGACGAGACAAGCACTTCTAAATATTTATAATAATAATATGACCTAATTATCAACATTTGATACCCCTATAAATGCATCGACAAGCAACACAATAATGAGAAACTAGTTCACCTTGAGTCCTAATACAAAAAAAAAAAAAAAAAAATNGCATCGACAAGCAACACAATAATGAGAAACTAGTTCACCTTGAGTCCTAATAAAAAAAAAAAAAAAAAAAATTGTTTAAAGCAAGTATAATTTATATTATAGCAACATATTTACCAGCAGTAATATACTCATTAAGCCAATTAGTCAACATTTTGGAGACAAAAAGAGGAAAAATACTTCATGTTACCTACCGATCAAAACAAAAAAGGAAGTTACTTAGGCTACTCCCCCTAGCAATTCACAACAAATGAGACAAGCACAACTAAATATTTATGATAAGATAAAACTTTCAACAGTTGATACCCTAAGATACATATACAAGCAACATTATAATGAGATTTGAAACTGTTGGGAGAAAGAGGGGAACGGCGGACCTTTTCTTCAAAATCAGATTCCTCCATAGCAAGGAGGAGCTCGTCGCTCTGAGGCTGGGGCCACTGCGCGGGGAGCAAAAACGACGTCGGAATAATTCGAGTAGAGCATGGGTACTGTAACATGAAGGATGGATACTGCAACATTTTCCTTTCCTTTCCTTTCCTTTCTTCCCCGCTCTCAGCTCCTCCTTTGCTCACTCTAATACTTTTTGAGTTTGTATTGGGCCTTGTTTGTTTGGGGGTCTATAAAGGCCCATCCTTTCTTCTGGAAACTATATTTTCTAGATTGTATTTTTTCTTTCCCTTTTCTTTAGCTTTTTCCTTTTTTCCAATGTTATTACGGTAAAACCACATAGCAGGGTCATGTTTCCAGTTTTCACCTATACGGCTATACTCATGATAATTGCTTGACCTTGAATTTAGCGTGATTCTTTAATTGTTCAGTTATTTTATTCATCTAATTTGACTTTATGATGCTCTACTCTTCTTATTCTTTTTGTTCCAATTTATATAATATCGTTCGAATTTTGAGAATTAAACGAGTTTTTTTATCGTTAAATATTTTAAGTTATTAATTATTATAACTTATAATACTTTAAGTAATGTTTCAAAATGAAAAATTTATTTAAAAAACTCAAAAACTATAAGTCCGAATTTAAGGTCAAAAAAAAATTGACTCTAAAATTTGAACGATGCCACAAAAATTGAGATGATTAAAAATAATCAGGACAATAAGTTTTTGGAATTAGTAGAGTAGGGCTCTTTCAAATCTTACACATGCCATACACATTGTTGAACTCACGCAGCAAGTTACTACTGTATAGGCCAAAATCTGCCCTTAGGATATTTAGCGTAATATGGCACTAAAGAAAGAGTCGGTCGAGGTGGACCAGGAAGCAGCAAAGTCATTGGCCGAGGTGTCAGCCATGAGCCGTAGTCGAGATGTCGACGAGAGCCGACGAGAGCCGCAATCGAGATGTCAACAAGGGTCGAGGTCAAGGCTGAATATTGATGACAGGAGTTGTAACGGCTAGTTTGTCAGGATAGGATATTAAAGGAGAATATTCTAGTGGATAATCTCTTTACTTGTACTACTAGAGTTTCTTAGGAAAATGTCTCATATATATATAGAGAGAGAGAGAGAAAAGACAATGATAGGGGGTAATATTCATTTGATAAGAACATTTTTCGGTAGAAGATTCTCTCCATCTTAAAAAAATACAAAAATTGCCTTTTGACAAAGATTCTTGCTCATATTATTCCACATCTTTCCACCAAATCCGAGGATTGTTCAAACAAATCTTGGATCTTTCTGTCACTCATCATTGTCATGAGAAATATTCGTCTAATCCATCCATTATTGGGTGAATTATTCTCCTTATTTACTTGAATGCCATTTATTGTTATTTATTGTCAGTTACACCTTCATTATTGCTCATACTTTAAGAGTATTTTACACTTATTGTCATCAATCATTTACGGGATTTGTCCCCACCTTCCGCATGTTTTTAAGATTTGCATCTAGAGTTATTATCCTTAACTAGATTTAACCCATCATTATATAAATTTAATATTTTAACCGAAAGTTACACTTTTTGGTCAAACGATTTGGCGTCGTCTGTGGGGATATTCTAGCTAAGTCTTTTAGTTTTTTCTAGATCTACAATCAACATTGGTTACTAAAGTTTTAAAAAAAAAAAAACTAGAGCCTTTTTCTCTCTGCATGCATAGATCTAATATGGCAGGTAACAGAGAAGAAAGAACGAGAATAATGAGTGACCTCCCAACCAACATCATCCGCGAAAGCTCTGAAGCACTGGACAAGGACACAACGCCCAATACCTCTCCTAGGCGAGGTGGATCACCCCCTCCCCACTGCAACCTCACAAAATCTATTGGTAAGACAGCCTCTACATCCGTGGGAGAGGAGGCACCACCAACGATAAAGATGCTCCTTGAGGCCTTGCTAAATGATACACTGACCAGCGTCCTCTATAAGCCCGTTCAGGACGCGGCCACAATAAACGCGAGGACTTGTGCTACACCACTATTGGACGAGCAACATGATCAACCTCCTCCTCCTCCCACGACGACAAGTATTACTCACAGTATTGTTAACAATGCAGACGACGACGCTCTCACAGCCATTCTGAAAAGGATGGAAGAAATGAAAAATGAGAACAAGGCACTTCGGGACCAAATCAGAGAATACCAAGAAATGGTCGATAAAATATCGGGCGCTCCAAAGCTATTGCCGAAGAGAGATGTCGGTCGGTTCGTCGAGCAGCCGTACAGTGATAGCGCTTCCCCACATGCCATACCAAAGACCTTTAAAATGCCTCCTTATCTGAAAATATACGATGGCACAACTGACCCCGAGGATCATGTGACACATTACGTCACCGTCGTGAAAGGCAATGACTTCGCAAAGGAACAAGTATCCTCCATTCTGCTAAAGAAATTTGGTGAAAACCTCACAGGAGGTGCATTAACCTAGTATTCGCAACTGCCTGTACGTTCCATCGAAACCTTTGAGGAAATGGCCGATAAGTTCGTGACAGCCCATGTCGGGGCCAAGAAGGACGAGGCAAGAGTAAATGACATCTTTGCTATCAAATAGTCTCCGGGAGAGGGGCTGAGGGACTTCTTCGCACATTTTAACCGAGTAAGAATGACCTTGCCCAATGTATCAGAATTAATAGCGGTAGCTGCTTTTCAAAATGGGCTGAGCAGAAATGGTTCAAGGGCGACAAAAAAATTATTAAGTCGGCTTATGAAGTATCCCCCAACGACTTAGGACGAAATACATAACGCATATTATGCCGAAGTGCGAGCAGACTAGGACGACCTCAATGGGCCGACCCATCGACTGACCTCGGTATAAGCAGAGTCCAGAAAAGATTGAAGAAATGATATCATAAGAGATACCATGGCCTCAAGACCAAACCGGGAACGACATCTCCCATATGTCAGAACTACCACTGCGTCCTCATCCCACCATAAAGAAGGCCCATCCCGATCAAGAACAGGGACTCACCGGAATGAGAGAGGTATGCCCCCTTTACTATCCGCTCACAATTTCTGCGTGTAACCTACATAGATTGTTTACGCCTTGGAGAAGCTCGGACCAAAGGTGAAGTGGCCACAAAAGATGAGATCAAACCCGAATAACAGAAAATCAGAAGCCCTCTGCGAGTTCCATCAAGAGCGAGGACATAAGACCGAAGATTGCATTGCCCTAAGACAGGAGGTCATAAACATGCTGCGACAAGGACACCTTAAAGAATTGCTGAGCGATCGGGGAAGGACCAACTTTTCCAGAGGACATGAACAACATCAAGGGCTGCCAAAACTGCCCTCGCCAGCCCGCACCATCCACATGATCATCGGTGGAAGGGACGACGCTACCATCAACAATGTAAAGTTCACCAAAACCCACAAGCTCAAGCGGTCAAACACCCGTGAATGATATGATGAACTCGAAGAAAGTATCATCTTCGATAAGTTAGATACCAACGGTTTGGATTTCCCTCACTATGACGCTCTCGTTATTACTTTACGAATTTTAGATACCGACGTAAGACGGATTATGGTAGACGATGGGAGCGGCACGTGTATTATCCATCCTTGAGTAGTTGCACAAATAAAACTCGAGGACAAGATAGTGCCATGCTGCATCACACTAACAGGCTTTAACAATGCAATTGAGCGAACATCTGGCGAGATCACACTCCCCGTCCTGGAGGGAGGCATCACTCTGGAGACCACATTCCACATCATGGATTAGGACAAGACATACAACGCCATAATAAGGTGACCATGGATACACACCATGAGATATATCCCCTCCAACTTGTACTAAGTCATCAAATTTCCAACTCTATGGGGCATATTCAGTATACGAGGGGAGCAACGCACATCCCAGGAATGCTACCGCATCGCCCTAGACTGCACGATCACCTAACAAACAAAGGATAAAGAAAAAGAGGCATAACAATCAACAAGGTCGAGGTCGATATGTGATGACAACGAGGACGTCATCAGAGACCCCGATATGGTCGAGGCCGCAGGATCGACCATAAAGGACCTCAACCCCGCTCAATTAGACAGCAACCACCACAACAAGAAAGCTTACATCGGCTGCAAACTTCAGGAACTGGGTAAGTTTCGTGAATTTTTAATTGCTAATGCGGACTTATTTGCTTTTAGCCATGCAGATATGCTAGGTATCCCAAAGGAGATCACCACGCACAAATTGAACGTCCATCCACTCCACCCCCCGGTGAGGCAGGTTAGGCGTAAGTTCAACTTCACAATAAATGACGTTGTGCGCGAAGAAGTGGAAAAATTGTTGGAAAATGGCTCCGTCAGAGAGTCGAAGTATCCCCAATGGGTCGCCAACGTAGTCATGGTGAAAAAGAAGAACGGCAAGTGGCGTATGGGCGTAGATTTCACTGACCTGAACAAAGCTTACCCCAAGGATTCATTTCCATTACCTCATATCGACCAACTCATCGACACAATGGCCGAACACGAACTACTAAGTTTCTTGGATGCCTGCTCGGGCTAAAATCAGATCCTCATGGAGGAGGAGGACCACGAAAAGACCACCTTCATCACCCACCAAGGGACATAATGCTACAGGGTCATGCCTTTCGAACTGAAAAATATAGGGGAAACTTACCAAAGGTTGGTGACGAAGATGTTCAAAAAATAACTCGGAAAAATGATAGAAGTCTACATCGACGACATGTTGGTCAAATCCAAAAGGAAAGAAGATCACATCGACCACCTGAGAGAAGCCTTCGGCATACGCAGGTAATACGACATGAAACTGAACCCCAAAAAATGTGCATTCGGCGTGGCCTCAGGAAAATTCTTGGGTTTCCTAGTGTCGATAAGGTATCGAGGTCAATCCCGACCAAATCAAGGACATCGAAGGGATAGCAGAGCACTTGACCACCAAAAAGCAGGTCCAGAGGTTGATCGGCCGTATCGCCGCCCTTTCGAGGTTCATCTCACGATCCTCCGATAGGTTCCATAAGTTCTTCGACGTGCTCAAAAAGGAGAATGGTCTCCAATGTACCACTGAGTGTGTTCAAGCCCTGAAGGAGTTAAAGGTGTACCTATCCTCGCCACTGTTGCTCTCAAAACCAGAACCGGGACAGCTCCTCCTCATCTATCTCGACGTGCCCGAAGTAGCTGTGAGCGTAG